ACCTAATTCAAGCATGTCAGCGAAGAATTCAGCCTTAGCTTGATCTAGTAAGGTATGTTGGTTTACCCTCCGCGTTGTCGTGGCCGCGTATGGCTGTTGCAGCTTTTTTGTACCGATCTGAGCGCTTTTTGGAGTTTGAAAAGACCGCTACGGGAGTGATCAGAACCGATCTCTCTCATGCGTTTTTCCATTCCTCTGCGCGGTGGTTTGCGAGCGCCGATTTTAGGCGTTTTTCGCATTCCCGCAGTTGTTCTAAGCGCGGACATCTAAACTGCTGCCAGAGCCGTCTCGCCTTACGTTTTTCGCGTAAGAGTTTTTCGACTTCTGCGGGAGTGTGTTTGATCCCTCTTCGGGCGGGCGCCAGAAACCGGCGTCGCCTTTCTGAGGGCTGTTTGTAAGTGTTTTGTGAGTGTTTGTATGTTTTCGTCTATGGAGTCAGTAGAGTTCATTGTTTGTGTTTGAGAATGTAGTGAGGCGAGGTGAGTGCGGAACTCATCCCAGTCAGTGGTTGTGGGACCCACTGCCTCGGGCCGCAGAAAGAGCGAATGCTTCCAACTACGAAGGTTATGGGAATGTGGTCAGAGAGAGAGAGAGAAGGAATGGGTTTGGGTGTTGTGACACGAATGTTTCCTGATGTGAGTGCCACATCGAGGATTTCGGGTCTGAGGCGAGGGTCGTTTGGGAAACGCGTGGGCGTGGAGGCGGGATGAGTGTCACGGTGCTGTGTTGATAGCAGGAAACTTACGAGTAAGTTCCCATTACTGTTTGTGGTGTTGCAGCCCATTCTCGCACTTGCGTTCAGGTCCCCGCCAGGACCGTGCGAGGTGCTAGGGAGAACACAGTGTCGACATCGTCATCTATGAGAGGGCGATTTGGCGCTAAGTAGGCTGACACCAGTGCAACTTCGCCTTCCGTCGTGTTCACCACAATGGCTGCCGCTTCAAGCTCGCGAGGCGAGGTAAAGCTGCCGGGCGATGGGGTAACGAGCGACGTACGGCGACCGCTACACCGCCTCCACGATGGCGCGCATCGCGGTCGGTGCGGTAGATTGGCCATGTCGTTTAGCTCCAGGTCATCGGCGCTTCTGAGTTTTGTTTCCTGCAGTAGAAGAACATCGATAGGTGCCTGTTGCAGAAAGTCTCAATTACACTCTCTCTCCTGGACTTTGTGACTCGGAACGGCCCGTTTACGTTCCAGGCGGCTACCGCAAGAGGGCGGGTTTCTGTGGTGTTCCCTGAGTTTCTGTGTCCCAGCCTTGTGGGCTGTCACTGAGCGCAAGAGTTTGGATTAGGTAGTGAGGTTTGAAACCTGCTGCTTTAGTTCATGCGACTCCGCTCGGAGTTGCTCCGTCTCGTCTTGGCAGCAGGTGTGGTGAGTTTGCGCCTTTTGCGGGGCGGCGGCAGGGCGGGCGGGCCCTCTCTTTGGATGGCTTCCCTCCTCTCCGCGCGCGCTGCTTGCGCGGGGTGTTGGTGGTGAGTGCACTATGCCTCGCCAAAGGTAGTGCTCTTTTCTACCTTGCGCGCAGGGCTGTGTATTGTTTAGCTTCGTTCGGCATTTCTGCTCTCGACCTTGCTAACATATTGCTCTTTTGCTGTAAGCGTCGCTTGCCGTGGCCTTACAGCCACCTGTAGTGTGGCGGAATGGTTCATTCCGCAGTTACAGCAAACAGCAGGTTTGCTGCTGTTGCTGCGTCCTTTCGTGAGATGGCCTTCGCCGCAGTCAATGCAGCGTGGCTCTCCTGACAGTAGGGCGCGGTTGAGACCATCGGCAGCACGTTTGCAGAAAGGCGCGCTCTCTGATCGCCTTGCTACCTCGATGCGTGCGCGGCAAAGTGACGCACTGATGCCAGGCGCCATAACTACGTTGCAGTGGATCACTGCCCGTGATCTCATCCCTGGGTAAAATCGGTTCGACGAAGTAGCGATTAATCAATTTCATTCGCGATATTGCGCCTCTTCAGTTGGTGAACCGCCAGCCTTGTTTGCCGGCACTGCGAAGCGATCTTAAGCTACTCCTCCGCTACCACTTGAGGGGTGGGCGCGCTAATTGTAAATTTTCAGCCCACGCTCCTCCTTGCGTGCGTCGGGTGAAGTGTGATGCGTTCTATTCTCTTTCAGGGACGCGGGCGAATCTTCACATGGTCGTAGTCTTCCTGGCCTGGCAAGAAAGAAATCCCCGCATGTGCTTGCCTGTGACCGCCTCCTCGATCCGTGCGTCGCCGCCTCGAACCAGCGGTGAAAACCCTGCCTCGGAAGGCAAACGAGGCGTTCCGACCTTTATAGGCGGAACGCGTTTGGCAGCCTCTTTGGCTCGTGGCGGACGCAGGCCGAGGGTCCGGCTGAGGCGTTGGCCAAGGGGCGAGAGGGGAAGGGAAGGAAGCGGGCGTTAGGTGAAGGCGTGCGTCCTGTCGCGTCGGCGAGGGTGGAAGAGGGACACGGCCTCCGGGGGCGAGAGCACGTCCGGCGAGGCCACCGCCTCACGTTTCCGTTTGCGGGGCTGCCTCGGCGCGCTGCCATCTCCCCCCCCCCCCGGTGCAGAATCCACCTGCATCCCCCGCCGCGCGGCTGGCAGAGTCATCAGGAAGCTGCGCTAGGTAACAGGTGGAATAGGACGCGGCTGCGCATCGCTGGAGAGGCGGCGTTCTTGCCTTTTCCTGTGATGCGTCGTGTGTTGCAGCGTCGGCTTGAATCGGCTGGGTGGATGGCGGGCGGCGTTGAACTCCGCTAGCCCGTTTTGGCGGATGGCTTTGCTGAACGTGGCATGTTCAGCAGGCGTCAAGGGATGCTGCAAAAGGGCAATTAGATCGATTGAGACCCGCGCAAGGCAAGCGTCCTCATCGGCTTTGCATTAAAGACTCGTCGTATCTCCTCACTGAAGCGGCTGCTTTGCTGCGGCTCTTCCTGTGTGTGTCCTTGCTTCACGTGTGTGTTTCTCTCGGCCTCGACCCACTAAAGGCGCCGTTTGTATGGGCAGGAAACCTGCTGGTGAGCTGGCGCGTCGTCGG